TCACAGGCCAGCACTCTGTCCACTGAGCCACACCAGCCAGGGCCAAGTGGACATTTCTTAAAGACCTATTTGGGCCAAGCAATCTTCATGGTGTGTCCAGGAGGGGGTTTCAACTCTGATTTCACAACAGAATCATCTTCAAAGATTTCCTTAAAACAGACGTCTCCAGATACTACCTACAGAATCAAATTACCAGAGAAAGCAGCTAGTATAGAAGTATGGAGGCAAGTGACAAGATGGTATATTAAGGTTGAACAGTAATACATGGCAGATGATTTTATATACATATGAAAAGTAACTCACTATACACTGATTAGAATGGCCTGAATTCAAAACACTGACAATACCAAATTCTGATGAAGATTTGCAACAGGAACTCTCGTTCATTGCTGATAGAAATGCAAAATGGCACAGCCAGTTTAGAAGGCAGTTGGCAGTTTCTCACAAAACTAAATACATTCTTACTATATAGTCCATCAATTCTACTCTGTATTTTCCCAAATGAACTGAAAACTTAATCCACACAAAATCCTGCACATAGATGTTTATAATAGCTTTAGCCATAACTGCCACACTTGGAAGTAACCAAGTTGTCCTTCAGTAGGTAAATGTATAAACTGTAAAACATCCAGACAATGGAATAGTATTCATCAATGACAAGGCATGGAAGCTTAAGTACATATTACTAAGTAAAAGAAGCCAATCTGAAAATCTACATGTGCATACTTTATGATTCCAACTGTATAATATTCTGGAGACAGTAAAATATTCGGCAGTTGTCAGGGGCTGGGAGGGAAAGAAAGGATGAATAGACAGAGCACAGAAAATTTTCAGGATGGTGAAAATATTCTGCATGGTATCACAACGGTGGATGTAGGCCATTACACACTAGTCAAAACCCATAGAATGTACACCAAGAGTGAACTCTAGAGTAAACTTTGGACTTTGGGCGATAATGACACGTCAGTACAAGTTCCTAAGACCTACCACTGCAGTGTGGGGTGTTGGTAGTGCGGGGCTACCCCTGTGTGGGGGCAGCGGGTAGACAGGAACGCTCCGTACTTTCCACTCAATTCCGCTGTAACAAAACTGCTAAACAAAATGAAGCCTATTTTTTTAAAAAAAGAAAACTAATAAATACTGTAAAAGTAATGTCTGTAAAAGTTAAACGGCATAGTCAGCACTTACCAATTATCCAATATGCCTCCACTTTCAAACCTTAGAGGCTGAAAGCATACACTCATTTAGTCTGAAGGGGCCTTCCCTCCCTACAACCCACTCTCCACCTACCAAAATTCTAACACTTCACAGTCAGCTCAATATGTCAGTGACATATTGAGCCAATTTATGACACTGCTATCATTTATCATTGTCCCTATGCTGTTTATCTTCCTCCCAATTCACACACTCAAGTTGCCTGCCTGGCTCCAGTCTCATTTGATGCTGTACCTCATTTAGTTACTTGCTTCTATGTTTCTCATACCTATTAAATTTTAAGTTTCTTGAGAGCAAGGGTTTACTTCTCTTTCATTCCTCCCATATGACCATAGTATATATTCATCAACTATTTTCTGAATTTAATAAAATATTAGTCAACAAAATAGGAAAAATGTTAACATTTGATCCATCATGAATGTTGCTCCTTAAGCTTTAATAATTGGTAGCACTGCTTCTTTGTTAAAATTCACTTCCAAACTCAATATCCTTTTTACACCTAAGTTACAAATAAACTCTGTGAGGATTGGAAGAGCGAGCGGTTGAGACACAGACAAGTAAGGAAGAGAACATGTGTTGAAAACCTGTATGTGCCAGACTAGGCTCAATAATTAAGTGAGGGAGGGGCAAAATCCAGCAGCTAGGAGTGCTTGGCACATCCCTAGGGATAAACCTGGCTAGACCAGGTAGGACTAGCATTCCAGGACAGAGAGCGAGATTCTGCAACAAGCAGGGACCGTACAGAGTTGCCAGAACAAGGAGCAGTTACTTTGGGTAAACTTTATTAACGCTTACAGCATTATTACAAGTGGTGAACTGATGCCATGGGAAGAGTCCATGACTAAAGGCCACTGCTCCCATGCCCAACCAGGGGACTCTTCTAATTACAGTAGTAGATTCAATTACTTTAGGATGTCTCACTAGATAGGTACCTGATGCTGTCTTATTTCCTTGGAGGAAAAGAGATCATAAAGGAATGACATAATCACTGCCATCAAAACAGAATAAGAAAAATTTGAAATAAAAAACAGTAGTTTTCATATAAGAGTGTAATAACTAATCATCTTTCATTAAAGAAAAATCATAAAGCAAATAGTTTGACCTATAGGTACTCTGCTGCTTGAGATTTACTGTAAAACCTTTTCTTAATGTTTTTTATTTAAGTAGCTGTAGATTCCAAGTAGTTGAAATATATAATACTGAAAGAACTCATACCATTTACCCAGTTTCCCCTTGGAGTAATATCTTGCAAAACTACAGTATACTATCAAAATCACATACTGATACTATTAACGTTGATACAAATATTTCCATCAACACAAAAATCCCTCCTGATGCTGTGATAGCCACACCCCTTTCTCTCCTGCTGCCCTCCCCACTTCTTTAACTCCTGCTACCACTAATCTGTTGTATATTCTTATAATTTTGTCATCACCATAATGTTGAGGATTCGCTGTTTTCCTCAGCCTTGGCTTTGGGATAGGCTGTTTTCACCCTGGGTAATTACCTACAGATTCATCCTGCTGTAAAACCTCTTAATTTGTACAGACCATGAAACATAATTACATCCTAGTAAAGTAAACAAAGACCTTGGGTTCACTGATGACTCACACCCGAAGCGGATAGACAATTAACCCTTCATTCTGCTCTTCTGTACATGTGTTTTCCTGCTACTGTAAAGACAGGGACATTCTTGTTGTGAAACTGTTCTACCATCAAGACTGTTTCTACACTTTAAAATGATAAACTTTATGCTTGCGGAGCCATAAAGTTTTATAAAAATTTGTCTCCAAAGAAAAACGCTTCATATATTTATGAATTTACAAAGAATTTCCTGAGTTTTTCCACTTAGAACTAAGTCTTTGCTCTCTTATACTACCAAAAAACAAGCAAACAAGGGAAAAAAAAAAAAAGCCTGTAACTGTTTGAAAAAGCAACCCTCGTGTTGAGTTTTAACTACCATAGAGAAGAAATACATGCATCTGTCAAATCCAAAATCTTAAAAACCACCAGATGATTTGTTTATTCTTCAAATTTTTCTCTCAATCCATTTAGGATATCATTCAAAACCACTTCTAATACCTACCAAACCTGTCAATAGTATCCCATTACTGAATGATTATTTGAAAATGAAAACAAAAATCCAGACCAGGTAACTGGCTAACTTTCTACTCATCATTTTCAAAAACAGAAGTCAAATAGGCTCATCTCGCAATAACAAACTCGTAACACAAAAGATCAAGCTACTAAAAATGAAAGAGTCTGCAACCTGTGGGCATGTCTATAAAACGTAGGCCTAAAATTCATCCGCTTTTTAACCAGAACCACAATACTCTGTGTTGGTGATACAATGTTAAGCAAATCAAAATTCATTAGTCACCAGTCAAAAGATTTGTAAATGAAGCACATAATATTCTAAGTTTATAACTTAGATATAAAGAAATAGAGATAGAGGGAAAAGGATAGGAGAGATAGATACAGGGAAGAAGGAAGAGAAGGGAAAAGGGGAGGTGGAGGACAAACCTCGCAGGCAGTTCCTTCAAATGTGTGTATACTTTAATAAATTGTAGAGGAAAGTAACAGTGTTATTTAAATATTTAATCACCTGCCCAGTAAAAAATAAACAGGCAAATTAAAACCTTAATGAACCTTACTACATGTACATATATGCACACACAGATAAGCACACGCCACTTTGGGACTGATTTCCTTATCATGACTTCGAATTACCACTCCATTTCCTGTTTGGAGAAGTGTTCTAAGCTAATACCAATGGTTCCATTTAGACGCTGGAGGTTAACCCGGATAATAGTCCACAATCATTACTCCCTGGTATTAGCTCACTGACATAGGTTTGTCTCCACAGTCATATTTTTATGCCCCACAGTTCTAGGGTCTATAAAATGTGTTGCACAAAGTGGGCACTAAAAACGAAGAGTTGAATGTTAAGAAAATATACAGTACATATTTAGAGAGCTACAAAATTCCAGAATGCAACAGACCGATTTTCTAACTCCTAAACATCCCAAAGAGGGTGGACATTATATAGTTCAGTGACACTGTGTATCCAAAACCTTAACGTTGTGCCCTTTAAATAACCGATCTACAGCTCAATTTTCTCATTTGAACAACGGGGATACTAGGAGGACCTAACTCACATGGTGTAAAAAGGATTGAAAAACTTGGTACACCTTAGATCAAGGCCTGGAACACTACACACTATATAAGGGTTAGTTACTGGTGTTACTGAAAAAGACTATTACAATTAAACTAAGGCTATTCAGTCCCACAAGAGGCCAGAAGCTTAAAAGAAATATCCTAGGAAAGATAAAATCAGGGATTGGCAAACTTTTTCTATAAAGGACCAGATACTACTGTAAATATTGTGGCTCCTCAGGTCAAGAGCCAATATCCACAACCCTTGTAGCAATTATTCTCCTGAAAGACTAAGAGGTTATTTGTCTGTTTACATTTTACATCTTAAAACTTAAGGACCCATACCAAAACAGGTTGGATTTGGACCCAGGGCCATAGTTCGGCGACCCCTGGATGAGATTATAATGATTATAACACAATCTAGTGCTTTTAAAAGGCAACATAAGGGAAACGTTTGTGAGTTGATTAAAGCTGAGTGAAAAATGTGCTGCCCCCAAACTTCTAAAATGCAGGCAGGCGTGGCTGGCGTGGTAGGGAATAGGTTCAGGACGAGGAAAAAGGCCTGAGAAGCAAGCAAGGGCGTTCGTTGCACGGCTCTCCGGGTCGGCCGAGCCCTCCGCCACACTTACTCCCAGCAGCGGCCCTCGGCCGATCACCGTCTCCCCGGGCGCCAGGGCGACCCGGGGGCCGCCATCCTGCGGCTGCAGCTCAAAGACCCCGGACATGGAGGCGAGGATTAGGCCCCTCCGCAAGCAGACGGTCCCCACAGCTGTTCCCGCCTTCCAGGGGCGGGGAGCTGAAGACCGCGCGGGTGAGCCAAACCCTCCCGCAGCGGGAGTTGAGCAATGCGTTCCCCTGCCCCGCCCCTCCACTCAGACCAATGGCACTGGGGGATCCCCTCTCACAGCCACTCCAGCTATTGTTTGAAAGCCCCGGGTAAGCCCTCCCCCACCCCTCCTCAGGGCCCCCTGCTGTGGAGAACACCGGACCTTGTAGTCCGTGGTGCCTTCCTTCTCCTCCTCTGTCCAGCTGAGACACCCTGGTAAAACTACCAATCCCAAAAGGCAATGCCCGCTCTTCTCTACGCCTGCGCGAAATCTGGGTTGGGCAAAGCGGGCTGAGTGGGTGTAATCAGAAGAGCTGGGGGGATGGCTTCAGAGTTCCCAGGATTTAAATCACGGGCGGACACACGCGCACGTTCCATCAGGTAAGAAGGCCTCCTCTTTCTTTCCGCCAAGGTCCGGCCAGCAGTCTCGGGGGTTGGGCTCCGGCGCCAGCACAGCCTTGGCTCAGCGGGGCGGAGCTGAATTGACAGCCATGCTCAGAGTTGTTATTTTGTACATTTGTCAGTGCTCCGTGTTCTTCGAACTCTGGCAGCTGCAGTCTGCGCGGGGCACGCAAGGAGGGTGGCTCAGATGATACGCGGGAGTCATTCCTTCCGACTTGCGGGGTCTGAACTGGGTGAAGGCTCCCTGATAGCCGGGAGGCTCCCGAGGCTACGGCTGCGCTGTCCCCGGATCCCTTCCTCCGTGTGACACCTGGAAGGAGTAAGCCTTTCTCCAGCTAAAGAGGAACTTCAGCAAAGTTTGGTTCGTGAAGAAGAGGCAGAAAAGGGATAGTTTTCCAGGCATCCAGGCAAACCTGGACTTAGAATAAAGATGCCTAGTGGGATTTTAAGAACCTGACCGAGGCACCCTGTTAAATTCAAAATAGTGCTTCTTGTAGAGTAACTAACGAGAAGAAGCATTTTATTCCAGTGAGATCCTGGAAGTAGTGACAAACAGTAACGTTCTCCTACTATAAGATTCTTTTCAAGAATATAGTAGTTCGACTTTGCGTATTGAGGGGAAGAGGCGTGGTAAAAACTTGTGGTTGACTCATGAACCTGTTTTTACCACTTTGTTTTCTTCCCCAGATCCTCAAGAGGAAGACCTCTCTTGAACACAGGCATTAAAATTCTAACCTCCATAGTTCATTTGGATCATAAACAGTCGTATGAATGGAAGCAACACAGGCATTACAATTCTAACCACTATCGTGAATTTGGATCATAAACAATCATATGAATAGAAGCAACTGTGGTCTTAGCAAGTCCAGAAACATGTAGGTGAGTAACTCATCTAGAAAGGGGAATTGTCATGAGCTAAGTATATAGCTGTATCTCAAACCCCTCCTTTAACACCACCACTCCGTATTATAAAAGGAAGTGCAAAATGGAATAAACTGATTTTAAGTGAGTATAAGCTGTCTTAATAAGCAAAAATAGCTCAGCTGATTTTGGAAGTCTACACCATGCATTTTAGGTAAATTAGCTGAAACTGGACTTTAAGTCTTTAGTCACATTTTATACCTAGCTGAATAATAAACATTGTTTCTAGTGCTTAGTCACTGTTGTTTGATAGCCTCAGTGACTATTATACTTTGTTCATAATTAACTGTAGGGTAGCTTCAAGAGGCCATTTCTAAAACACTAATCTTATAACCAAATTGAATATTTGAGACTTTGTGTCGTCATAACTCTGACCCCAACCTCTTGTCCATTTTAGATAGTACTTGTGTCAAATGTGAGCACCTACCCTTTATGTGCAAATAGATAAACAATTCTTATATAACCTACAAAATGTCCATCAGGTTTATGAATAAGTCACAAATCATAGATGAAGAACTTAATGACAAGGCATCAGTTCGCACAGATAATTAGTATTCAGGAGCTTAGTATAATTGAATCATACAAATTTTCAATAAATACTTAGAATGGAATGTATTCTCCCAATAGTCATTTCTACTAAACTCAGTAAATTATTGTCTGTGAAGAATCACTTCTCTTTTTAGAAAATGTTCCTAGGGGGCAAGCAGAAAGACAAATGTTTAGTAACAAACCCATTTACTAAAAATATTGAAAAGAAGAGAAGTAACATTTGTTGAGTGCTTCCAATGTGCACTTCAGAAGTGAGGCTAGGTGATTTACACATTCATCTTAGCAAGAACATATATATATGAGAGGATCTTTTTTGGCCCCATTTTACAGAATGGGAAGCTCAAGTCAGGAAAGGTAAAGTTTTCAAAATCATTCCCAGAAAGTATCTGGTTCAAAGTAGGATCCATAGTCTGATCTGAAGAGACTAACTTTAAACTCTGCCTTTTAGGTTACACATGAGGATACTTAACTAAAACATCAAGCTATGCAGAATAACTCCAAGAAGAACAATAACTTAAGAGTTTCTGACATAGAATTGAGCTCTGTGGATGCTGAAGAGAGTCAAAATAACATTTTTGAATGTCTGCCTCTAGAAATTACTTTACGTATTTTCAGTTGGCTGGACATTCAGAGTTTATGCAGGGCTTCAATGACATGCAGGAGCTGGAATTACAAAATAAGAACCAATGACTCCTTATGGAAACCTCATTGCTTGGCTGTAAGAGCTGTGTGCAAAAAAGAAATAGATGATGATCTAAAAAATGGTTATTCCTGGAGGGTAAGTTTAATTTTTGTGGTCTGCAGTGTTCTTAATAATTTGGTGGTGGGTTTGAACTCCACTCTACCTTCTGCTTGAAGGAGGTAGGATTTCATATACAGAATGACATTCAGAATGTGTTGGCCTTTGAATTTAAAGTTGAATTATTGTTCTTTTTCTGCAAACCACAGTATCCCCCATCCATCCTTTAACATTTTTTAAATCTTAAATTTGGGCATTTTCCTGTTGACCAGAAGGAAAGTGGCTACTTCTTTTCACTTCACATTATCCGAAACCCCAAGCAAACTCTGTGGCTTACTCTGTAGATATACACATATACATGTATATCTACGCACGCACAAATTTATTAGTATATGTGTATATCAATGTAAATACTTAATCTTCTTTTCAGCCCTGTCAATTAGCTTCTCTCAGGCTTCAAACAAACTCACTCATCAACAACATATTACATTGTTTAATGATGATGGTTTACCTCTTTTAGGATATACTACTGAGGAATTACCAGAAGAGTAAAGTGAAACTTGAATGGCTAAGCGGCAGATACAGCAACATATGTTCTCCTGTTGGCCTACCAGAAAAAATCATGTACCCAATGGATGCAGAAACATGGGGCGAAATTCTAGAAGCAGAACTAAAAAGATGCAAAAATGACAGAGATCTCATAGCTTTGAGAGTTTAAAACTAATAAGACTCCTAGGTGGCAAACCATGTATTTTATCCATTCATTTTTTTGTTCACCTTTTTAAATACTTAACATGCAAAAGAAAACTAAGTAGAAAATATTATAAAAGTAAAGCTTTGTTTTTACTTGGCACTTCAGTAAAAAATATTTTTCTGGTTTTACTGTAAGAGGAAAAAAATCATGAATTTTTTTTATATAAGAAATAATATACCAGTGAAGTGATTCCAAAATGTATTGTTCCATGTATTAGCATTAGTGTATTGTGGCACTTTAATGATAAGAGAGTGTGGTATTTCAGCTTAACAGTAATTCAAAAATTCCGGAAACCATTTGAAGAAACTGTCTTAGCAATTCATTAAGTAATAGGCATAACTAGGCTCATGGGAAGATGACCTAAATGAAACTAATAATCATATGTTTAAATGAAACTTTAAATTTCTATTTCAGTGAAATCAGATTGAATTGTCAAACAATGAAACCATTTTAAAATGTGCTAAATTTGTGGTTTAATTTTAAATTAATCGGGCCATAGGGCTAAAACTTGTGAGATTAAGTAAGGTTCCCATTACTTTCCTACTGACCTGGAATTGCTCTCAGGGACTGAAAATTTATGGAAAATTTTTAGAATACTTACCTACAACAGAACTGCCAAACTATTTTTCTTTTTTCTTTTTTTTTTTTTAAATTAATTTATTTACTTTTTAAATACATTTGTCTCTGCCTTCCCCCCCACCTCTTTCCCTTGCCACCTCCCACCTTCCCTTCCTCAGCTCTTCCCCTTTGGTTTTGTCCATGAGTCCTTGCTATATGTTCCTTGACTTTCCCCTTCCCTTCCCTTTAGCAAAACTCTCCTTATAGCCTATGTCACCATCTAGTGTACTACTCATAGATAACCAAGACAAAGGAATTAGCTCCTTTTTGTTTCTCTACATTTAAAGATTTTATTTATTTATTTTTAGAGAGCAGAAGGAAGGGAGAAAGAGGAGAGGAACATGAATGTGTGGTTGCCTGTTGCATGCCCCCTACTGGAGACCTGGCCCGCACCCCCGGAATGTGCCCTGACTGGGAATCAAACCGGTGACCCTTTGGTTCGTAGGCTGAGACCCAAACTGCTGAACTACAGCCAGGGCTCTCCACATTTAAAAGAAAGAAAAGTATTGTTTTAGAGAACGTTAAGTACTGGACTTCGTTAAAGTTTATAGCTTTCCAGAAAGTTTTCATATAACTTTTGTTTTCTTTTTCTTAAAAGTAGTTCACTATATCAGATTGTTCATTCTGAATTTGTGGCCAGAACCATAGAAGGTGTCTACAAAACATTTTAGTTAGTAAGGGATTTTCTTCTAAAATTGTGCTCTATAGCATGAAAATTAGAATCCAGGAAACCAGTATTTAACAAGTAGGAAGATACTCCTTTCTCTACAAATTCCCTTTGTTGGATCAAGCAGGTGATGACTGATTGTCTCTTACTGTCTTCTTAGTATTGGAAGGGGCCTTAAAGATCAGGTGGTCCTATCTCTTAAGACTACTTGGCAACACTGTCCTTAGGAATGTTCTTCCTGTTACCCACCATTAATTCTTTTCTTGGCAGTCTTTTTGTAAAACTTATCATCTTGATCTGGAAACCATCCCTAACTTAAACCATTTTAGATTAAGTGACCCTCGCAAGGTTCCCTGTAGTTCTTTGTACATCCCATTCTCAAAGTTGTCGTACTACGTTAAATTGTTTGTTTTATTTGTCTCCTCTTTTAGACTGTGAGCCTCTTAATGGCAAGGACCATTTATTTATTTTTGTGTTCTCAAAGCTTGGAACATAGTAGGTATTCCATAAAGATTTATTAAATTATTTCTGTATTATTTATTTTAATTCTACCTAGAATTAAAAGAAAACTTAAAATAATGTAATAAAACTAATTTACTATATTGGTAGTAGACAAGTACTGAAATGCAATATACAGCTCACAAGGTACATGGTGTGCTTGATATTAATGCTAATATATGAATAATTGTTCTCAAAAGCTGTAAGAGAAAAATAGGATTTTAAATTTTTAAATTTTTTTAAATAAACACTTGAAAATACACTTAACCCCTAAAGTATTATTACTTTTAATTATTGAGTCTTTAGTTTGATTTTTGTAATATTGTATTAAGTAATTCTTTGTATAAATTATGAGCTATGATCACAGTCTACACTAAAAGCAAAGTTTTGGAACTCAAAGATAAATTTCATGGTATGGGCTTAGAATAAACTGTACATTTATCAGACTGAGCCATTAGCATCTGAAAACATGAGTGGGTGGAGTAACATGGAAGGAGTGCTATTAGTCATAGATAAAATAACATGTTAAGTATGCACAGTTTGTAAAAGAGGCAAAATTATTGGGACAAGTATTGGAATTTCCAGTGTTTTTTAATATTTAATCAGCTCAACATCTACTGTTTTTAAAAATAAATTTGTTTTAAAAATAAAAAATAAAGTCTCATCTAATAAAAAAATAAACTTAGAAGCCCTTTTTATTCATTGCTTTTAGTTTATAACCCATTCTAAGTCCAGGACATAATCATCAATAAAATCTCTATGAATATGAACTTTAGACCTTAGAACATTCACAGAAATACAGGCTAATTTGAAAAATATACTCCTAACCACCTTCATTTCATCTTTGTTTTCACTTTATATAATTTCTTTCTCTAAAACTTCAAAAGCCTAATAATATTAACAAAAATAACATGAGTAGTAAGATTAGGATATGGATTGGGAAGAATAATGCACAAAATGGAAGATCGCTCCTTTCTATTTAAAGTAGAGTTTTGAAAGAGCAAAAGTGTCAAATGGATGGAAATAGGTCAACAATAAATCAAAAGTTGATTTATTATAATAGTTAATATTATCGAGTGCCTACTCCTCATCAAGCATTAGTTTATGTGGGGGTGCTAGTACTGTATCTCCACTTTGTGAATGAGGAAACAAAGTTAGCAAATGGTTTACCTAGTTCATCATCACTCCTCAGTAACCTATAAGAGTATGCAATATTAAGTGCTAAATACATTTTCATTGAATTAATTAAAAACACCTGAGAATGAATAACTCCAATGGAAGAGCAAAGAATGTTCCTCTAACTTTATTTTGAAAATCTTCAATCCCACAGAAAAGTAAAATTATACAACAAAAATTTTTATGTGTATCCTTCACCTAGATATACCTGTTAACATTTCCACATGTTTTATTAATTTTGCAGAAGTGATTGAAAATAGGTTGCAAACGTGATGATAACCTCATCCCTAAATATTTCAGCATGGCATCTTCTGACAATAAGTACACTCTCTTATATACATCATTATCACATCTAAAATTTTATATTAATTCAATAATATGTAATTTAAAATCCAACTTCAATTTCCTCAATGGCCCCAAAAATAGATTTTATAGTTTTTTCCAATTTAGGATCCAAGTAAGATTTATATGTGCATGTCATTTTCATGTCTCTCTAATCTCTTTCCCAGTGTTCTCCTGCCTTTGGTTTTGTTTTTCAGGATACTGACTTTTTTTTTTTTCAGAGTTCAGGCTGATTATCTTTCAGGATGTGCAATAATTGATTTCACTGATTGTCTCATCATGATTTGTTTCAGGTATAACATTTAGCAACTATACCACATAGGTGATATAATATACTTTTCATTATATCACGTTAAGGAGTACATGTCTGATTGTTTTACTATGTTAGAAAGTAAGTCTGATCATTTGAGGTGGTAACACCAAATCTCTCCACTGAGAAGAATATTTTTCTAGAGAGCCAAGATTTCTTTTTTCAACAACCCATTTCTAGAGTTTACCCCCATTGGCTAATCCTACACTAAATGATTTATAGACCTTACCTTATTTCATCTTCACAATTACATTTTCAAAGAACACAGGAAAATCATCTCCAAATTCTTTTCCAGATAATCTAAATATAAAAATAAAAAGATGTGAAACTGCAATTTAAACCCAAAACTTTGACTTCAGAAATCAACCAAGCTTTTAACCAGTACAGTGCCTTTTATAATTTTGACAGTCCTTGCACTGAAGCAACAGGAAGGACTAAGACTACTAAGGAAAACCGTTCATTACAAATATCTAGAAAATCTGTGGGAAATTGGTATTAAACACATAGATTTTACATTTCTGCTAATGGCAGAACAGATAATTCTTACATGCCTTCCTACTTAGAATAATTTGAAAACCTCTGAAAAAGAATCAATCTACTTGACAGCATCAGAGTGCTAATGAGATAGTACAGAAATGTTGGACAGGTGCGCAGGGAACGGAGGAGAACCAGAGAGGTAAGCTGGTAATTGATGTTAACCTTGCCATGGGTGCATTTGCCAATTTCTGCAAGAGCAGCTAAAAGATTAAATAGATTTTGAAAGCCTCTTCAGGATATGAGGATAGTGAGTGGAACCTAGGGCTCGCTGAGAGAAGGGGAACTAGTAACCCCTCCCCTTGGTAATCTTCCTTCTTGTGGTTTGGGACCTACGACTACACTCCAGGAATGGTGGTGACCTGGAAAAACATAGGAACTCACTGGGAAACTTTGAAAACACGTCAACCACTGAAATTGGATTGAGCGGATCCCAGAATAATCTGCCAGGGGCAAAAGAAAAAAATCATCCTCCATGGAGAGGGAGATCAACAATGTAGGCTTTACAGTATCTCAAGAAACATTTTAAAAATCAATGTCTCATACATGCATGCATACATATACATGTATAAGGAGACATAATATGAATAAAAATAAACAGAAAAAGGCAATAGAAAAGATCCACATATAGAATTATCAGATGAAGTCTCCAAAATAACAAAGCTTAAAGTAGTCAATGAGATAAAAAGGCATGTTGAAGATTTCAGCAGAGAAGTGAAAATAATAAAAAACAGCCAAATGGAAATTTTACAACTAAGAAATAAAATAACATATTATGAAATCAATAGATCATCTTAAAAGCAGATTAAATCCTTCTGAAGAGTGGAAAAGCACTAATGAATCTGAAGGCAGGTGCAAAGAAAATATCCAGAGTGAAGTAAAGAGATAAAAAGAAGGAAAATATAGA